TTAGTAATAGTAGTAATACTTTACTAAGTTAGTAATAGTAGTAATACTTTACTAAGTTAGTAATAGTAGTAATACTTTACTAAGTTAGTAATAGTAGTAATACTTTACTAAGTTAGTAATAGTAGTAATACTTTACTAAGTTAGTAATAGTAGTAATACTTTACTAAGTTAGTAATAGTAGTAATACTTTACTAAGTTAGTAATAGTAGTAATACTTTACTAAGTTAGTAATAGTAGTAATACTTTACTAAGTTAGTAATAGTAGTAATACTTTACTAAGTTAGTAATAGTAGTAATACTTTACTAAGTTAGTAATAGTAGTAATACTTTACTAAGTTAGTAATAGTAGTAATACTTTACTAAGTTAGTAATAGTAGTAATACTTTACTAAGTTAGTAATAGTAGTAATACTTTACTAAGTTAGTAATAGTAGTAATACTTTACTAAGTTAGTAACAGTAGTAATACCAGCACAACTCTCTAGACATAAAATAAAGTGCGACACTATACGAGCTCGTGAATTTCATCACTCATCAGTTTGCACAGTTTCGGAGTCCGTCCATATTTATTAAACTCACTACCAAGTGACTGGCAAGGCCCAGAAATCTCCTTGGGGATGAACCCAAGATTGATTCACAACTGTTACGACGCCCTCAGGAAAGCATCCAGTTTTGAGAAATAACGTTACCCGTGGTTTGATAACAATTGGGAAAATGATGGTCCTAATGTGATTATGACATTTCTAAATGATTGAAGAATGTTTTCCTTGCCATACGTGGAATATTCAAAGTGAGTTACCCCTTCTCGGTAACCTTATAGGTTCCTGGATGATTTCCTGTACGCACTTCAGAAAAGAAATCAAAACTATTACTATTGATAATTATATACATCACTTTACACGAAAACTACGGTAGTATTAGGAAAACACTTTCATCATCATTATTTCATCATCAACTCATCGTACAACAATTCCATATATCGAGATCGCTTACACCTGTTCTTTTCGTGGAAATACCTTCAACAACAACACAGTGGAGTTTCACCCGTGAAGTGGCGTAATACTATTTGTGAAGAACGCGATATGAAGTGGATTGCGAGCATTTGGCGGTTCACATTGGAGAAATCACGCCATATCACATAAACACGTAAAGATCAGTGAAATTTGATTTCCCATATCACGGTTGAAACTCCACAGTATTATGAATACTCTAGATGGGAAGTGAAATTATGAAATCAATACTCTTCATGAGGAGTATTAACCCAAATTCATGAACCGCCTTTTAGGGTGTAGCAGAGCATGTATATCTCGCTCGCCATGTTAATCGATTACAAACCCTTGGTGGAGTTACGTGGGGGAACGGGAAAGTACTGCGTGTGAACAACCACCAAACGATGCAAATGAACAACAAATACAAATGTTCGTAGATCACTATGGAGTTTCGCCCCAGCGATATGAAAACATACTCCACGACTACTGCATATCACCGCGAGTATCGCGTTTTTCACAGAGTTTTACGACACGTGACGTAAAACGCCATTGATATATGGTTGAATATAGTGGATATTTATAATATAGTATTTTTACTCTGAGTAGTAGCGCGGTTATTTTATGTTCTCTCATCAAAGCAGAAGATATGTTTCGCTAATATCAAAGTGATAAAAACACAGGTTAGAAAACTCTAACTTTACATGCAAAAAATCCCACCAAATTTACCAAAAATTGATAAAATTACGGTGAAATTGCGTTTTATTTTTCTACCAAACTCACATATATTGTCCCGCATCGTATTGCCAGCTTTTTGAACGACCATTCGGCAACTGCAAACAAACACGATAAATAACTTCAAAGCGAACTGCCCCCATTATGGGAAAATGAACTGCGTCACGTGAATTAATCAACTTCAACATTTCCACGAGAAAAAATCACCGACGAGTCACAGCAGTGGAGTTTCACAACCCTTTTTACGTGAAGTGGCGTCGTAAAACTCTGTGAAAAACGCGATATTCGCGCCCTGTAGTAGTCATAAAATATATTTTCACTAGTGTTTTTCATATCACTAGGGTGGTGAAACTCCAGTGTTGGAGGAATACATCTTCGGGACCCTCGGCAGTCTAGTAGGAGTTTACATACAAAAATTCGATCACAAAAAATGAAAATTTCTCAAAATTTTCTCAAAAGTTTTCATCATATGACCAACGCCTTTTTTATTTCCCCTCTCATTGACTTACATCCCTCCATCGTGAAATATCAGGTTCCGTATTAAACTCCATGAGAATATCTCGTTTCTGTTGCTCAGTTAAACCCAGATCACAAGGTGCCGGTTGTAGTAGTGGCTTTTCGAGCTGAGATGAAGTTGTCGAGATAATGCACATCGTGAAACGCTTCGCTCCGCTGTAGTCGAGGCAATTCCAACATTAAATATATAGTTTTTGAATCGTCCCTCTCACTTGTTGAGTGCAACTCTCCCAACTGCTTCTATTTTAAACACCACAACGGCTTCTTTACATGGGAGTTTCACAATAACCCGTTTTACGTGAAGTGCTGGCGCGATGAAAAACTCGGTGAAAAACGCGATATTCGCGGTGATATGCAGTAGTCGTGATATGTAGTTTTCACTAGCGTTTTTCATATCACTAAGGTGATAAAACTCCACTAATTAAAACGTAAATTATAATCTCACTACTTCATCACTCACCATCGGAATTTATGTTCACTTTCCTCAGCTGAGCTTAGTAGTTTCCTCACTATTAATCGAGATCTTCGTACGAACTCGGGTAGAAACTCATAAAAGGCAATGATAATTTCCCAAAATTTCCATATTGTCATCACCAAAATATGTAGTTGACAGTTTTTTCCCTCCAAACTGTCACCACTTGCGTAAAAATTTATAATATCACGAATACGCATACAATGTTTTTCACTTACTTCGAGATCAATAACAATAACTAGACGATACGCATACCATCCGCCGTACTTCGGATGGAGGTTCAAGGGTAGAACCTACGCGAAAACTACGATAAATCTAACCGTAATTATTCACATATGATGGAGTTTCACCACCCTAGTGATGTGAACAACTACTGCATATCACCGCGAATATCGCCTTTTTCACCGAGTTTATGACGCCACTTCGCGTAAAACTGTTGAAACTTCATTCTTTCCACAACTTCAATTTTTTTCTAATCTAGGAGGTAGAGCGAATTTCATCAGTTGCTGATCAGTGGTGCGTGCTCACAAAAATGTTTAGAAAAATCGAACAAAATTTATTCCGCAGTGTTGGAGGAATATTACCTTGCTTTCTGCAGCTGAGTTCCTCACGAATTATATAATTTTACATGACAGTTTTGGTGTACAGAAACCGGAAAAAAAGCGAAAAATTTCCTCACAATTTTGATATTGTAATCATCGCCAACACATGTGGTTTACTATGTGCATATTTCCCCCCTCCCCCCCCCACACACTGACTCACTTTATCATACGCGGACCCCCAGAGATCCTTATCGCGCACATCATGCATGGCCTCTCGCACTTCAACTTCCCATTCGGTTTTCTCAGGCCCTTCTTGTAAAAACTCCGGGGATAAATGCATATCGAGACCGGCAACTTGACCAAGTGATTGTACCTAGTGATAATATTAAAATTACGGAAAATTTTATACTCTATTATTTGAGGAAAGCGAACATATACTCCAACTGTAATTTCACCCTAGTGATATGAAAAACAATATTTCACGACTTCTGCATATCACCGCGAATATCTGGTTTTCCACCTAACATCGCGCCATTTACGGGTTGTGAAACTCCAATGAATATGATCATATGAAGTTAATGCAGCATACAAGAACATCAATTTTGCCGCAGGATCACCAGAGTCTTTGCTTTCCTGAATAGTAAAACCCCCCGAAATTCTCCCAATTTACGTGTAAAAAAGGCGGCTTGTCCACATTCATGACCGTAACGATATGATCCTCACACGACAGCTCTTCAACCAACAATCTGAGAATCGCAAAATATTATAAATAAAACGCCGGTGAGCTCCTACGGTTTCAGTTTTCTCCCGATGTAATCGCTGCCCTCCGAAACGAAATCGAACTTTTCCTCTACGTTTTCACCGTCGTTGACACGTTTACTATAAGCCTCAAGAACAGCACCTACATAAAATTGGGGTTCTACGGTGGCGTAATATTCCGTGAAAAACGCGATACTCGCGGTGATATGCAGTATTCGTGAAATACTAGTGTTTTTCAAATCACTAGGGTGGTGAAGCTCCGGTGTTGTTGTTGTTGTTGGTATAAATGATGTTCGCTTTCCTCGGCTGATCCCAGAAGTTTACTCACTAATTATACAACATATAAACTCGATTAGAAGCCTACAGAAACCAGTGAGAATTTCCTCAATTTTCATCCTCAAAATTTTAACCACACATGTAGTTGCATATTCGCCGCTACACAACACAATGTGAAATCATCCAGGAACCTATAAGGTTACCGAGAAGGGGGTAACTCATTTTGAATATTCCACGTATGGCAAGGAACACATTCTTCAATCAGCTAAAAATGTCATAATCACATTAGGACCATCATTTTCCCCATTGCCTAGGTAACGTTATTTCTCAAAACTAGATGCTTTCCTGGAAGACACTCTTTAGTTGGTCGCAAGTTCTAAGGCGCGTAATTTTTCTGCCGAAAATTTTTTTTCGCGAGTAAATTCATTAAGCTCAGTTTTTTATATTTCCTTTTATGATTTGTGAGCTAAATTCTATCAAAAAAATCATAAATTTTCATCAGAACTAATCTGAAAAAAATGCAGGAACTTCTGCATTCGCGTGCACAAAGCCTTTGTGAAATGAGAGAAAATACTCAGAAATTTCGAGTGCCCCACAGAAGATAACGCTACAATGAGTAAATGAAAATTTTCGCTGAAAAAAAAATTCCGCTATCACTCGCATCGCGCAGAAAAATAAGATTGTCATTATCACCAAAAACATATATAAAAGTATAAAACATTTTCACACAAGAAAGATGTATAGAAACAGATTATAGGGAAACGGCCAATCTGAAATAATTTCATATATGGAAAACATCACGGCGAAACTGATGGTATAAATGATGAAAAATGAAAAATATCAAAACTCACCTCGAAAGAAATTTTTGTTAGAAATGCAAATCACGCCCAAACGATTCCTTCCGGAAACTTCAATTAGTTGTGGTAATTCCGGAGCAACTTCTATTCGAAAGTCGTTGTACCTGCGGAAAATAGTAATGAAGTTTCACTCCGAAATTTAACTATCACTTTTTACCGGTATGGAAAAATATGCACGTAGTCAACTACATATATATGTAGGTGAAATTTTGAGAATGAAAATTGAGGAAATTCTCATTGGTTTCCATACACACTTCTACCCGAATTTGTATGTAAACTTGTATAATTAGTGAGGAAATTTATTCCAACACTGATTCCTGCCGTGTGAACCAAATGCTTATCCAGAATAATATTTTCAACTTCGCCTTCAAATTTTTGGGAGTTCGAAAGTCGACTTTTAGTAATATCAACTTGATAACAATGTGAATCGATTGACACCAACGTTTTAGAAGCGTTACGTAGTCTTGAAAAATGCCATGTAGAAAATCTAATTATCCATAAG